AGAACTGGGTGACAATTTAGAAGATAAATAACTTACTGGCTTGGTTGCATTAGACTCCAGGACTTGGTAATGGCAAGGAATAGACTCGAGAACTGGGTGACAATTTAGAAGATAAATAACTTACTGGCTTGGTTGCATTAGACTCCAGGACTTGGTAATGGCAAGGAATAGACTCGAGAACTGGGTGACAATTTAGAAGATAAATAACTTACTGGCTTGGTTGCATTAGACTCCAGGACTTGGTAATGGCAAGGAATAGACTCGAGAACTGGGTGACAACTAGAAGATAAATAACTTACTGGCTTGGTTGCATTAGACTCCAGGACTTGGTAATGGCAAGGAATAGACTCGAGAACTGGGTGACAATTAGAAGATAAATAACTTACTGGCTTGGTTGCATTAGACTCCAGGACTTGGTAATGGCAAGGAATAGACTCGAGAACTGGGTGACAATTTAGAAGATAAATAACTTACTGGCTTGGTTGCATTAGACTCCAGGACTTGGTAATGGCAAGGAATAGACTCGAGAACTGGGTGACAATTTAGAAGATAAATAACTTACTGGCTTGGTTGCATTAGACTCCAGGACTTGGTAATGGCAAGGAATAGACTCGAGAACTGGGTGACAATTTAGAAGATAAATAACTTACTGGCTTGGTTGCATTAGACTCCAGGACTTGGTAATGGCAAGGAATAGACTCGAGAACTGGGTGACAATTTAGAAGATAAATAACTTACTGGCTTGGTTGCATTAGACTCCAGGACTTGGTAATGGCAAGGAATAGACTCGAGAACTGGGTGACAATTTAGAAGATAAATAACTTACTGGCTTGGTTGCATTAGACTCCAGGACTTGGTAATGGCAAGGAATAGACTCGAGAACTGGGTGACAACTAGAAGATAAATAACTTACTGGCTTGGTTGCATTAGACTCCAGGACTTGGTAATGGCAAGGAATAGACTCGAGAACTGGGTGACAACTAGAAGATAAATAACTTACTGGCTTGGTTGCATTAGACTCCAGGACTTGGTAATGGCAAGGAATAGACTCGAGAACTGGGTGACAATTTAGAAGATAAATAACTTACTGGCTTGGCTGCATTAGACTCCAGGACTTGGTAATGGCAAGGAATAGACTCGAGAACTGGGTGACAACTAGAAGATAAATAACTTACTGGCTTGGTTGCATTAGACTCCAGGACTTGGTAATGGCAAGGAATAGACTCGAGAACTGGGTGACAATTAGAAGATAAATAACTTACTGGCTTGGTTGCATTAGACTCCAGGACTTGGTAATGGCAAGGAATAGACTCGAGAACTGGGTGACAACTAGCAAGATAACTTATTAGCTTTGCTGCATTAGACTGCAGTACTTGGTGATGGCAAGGAATTAACTCAAGAACTGGGTGACAACTAGCAAGATAAATAACTTATTGGCTTGGCCACATTTATAAAACATAAAAGCATCACCTGATCCATGATTATACAGATCATTTAGGATGGTAAAAATAGACCACCTAGGATGTTCGGCATGACACATGATGATGATAATATTTCCAGGGAGAGGGTGCACTGGACACAATTTATTATTAAAAAGAGAGCAGTGGACCAAAAAAAACAAAGTTTTGGAAACACAGATTTTGACACTTTATGGGTGATGTGTTGATAATCACAAGAGCTGCCTGCATTGCCAATAAATATTCTGCTATTTTAGATCAGGAGCAAACGCCATTTTGGGAGTAAAGGGAAACACATGATGCTTGGGGAGACTGTAAACCTGCCATTTACTGCACTACTGCGTCTTTTACCTTGCAATGACCAGGTACAAAATTCTCACAGGTTTCTTATTTTATAATCATTGTGAACTAAGTGGATTAGGACAAGACAGCACTGTTAACTCTTTCAATCCCAGGGTTAAGGTTAATTGCGTATCCTTTACAGGACGTTGCAGAACCAACCCCAGCAGCCCCTGGCTGTTGTGTGGTTTCTCTAGGCAAATTTACCTCCAGTAGTTTGCCACTGCTTTCTGGACGGTCGGCTTCTTGATACCACTGTCGAAACCAACATAAGGCGCATGGCCCGCAGCTGGGATCGAACCCGGCACCCCGGCATTACGAAGCGTTCGCATCGACTTAGTCACAGAGCCGACTTCAATCCCAGTCATGTGTAATTTTAACTTGCTCTATTGTAATAGTTGTAACTTTAACTAATTATGATTAAATCTGGAGTTAAAATATCATTTTAATAAGGCAGATAGAGATAAAGTAACAGCTAGAAAATGGTATGCTGTGTAGCATTCACAGATAAGACACAGAGTGAAGACAAGAACCATCAAGGAGAAACCAGCAAATATATCCTGAGTTGTTTAGTAATGAATTTGTTCATAGCATTGTAGGACCTCAACAAAGTAATACTCTAGTGGATCTGGCATCTCACATCTCTTCTCAGACCAAGGCAAACAATTTGGAGGAACTAATTGCAATTCCAAATAGCTATGTAGGTTTTCAAGATAATCATTATGTACACATTAATTGCAATTCTACACATTAACTTAACTGTGGAATCAATTTCACTTTGCATGTTTCTGACATTACTGGATCTCATAAAATTTAATGTGACAACAGTATGTCACAGACTCATTCTAAACTAATCAGTTCTAGTTTTATTTATTTTTTAAAGATACTTCTTTCATAACAATAAGAGCATGACAACTGCCTACACAACAAAATAATACACATTTTACTTGGTATGTCTGGCAGTTCAAATATGACCTTTACAAATGATGTGTATATTTCTGTATATCATAGTACATGTATATAATTTGTCAATGCAAAGAAAAACAAAGAAGTGCAATTGTAGATCAGATTTTATTTGCTGAAGAGGGTGGAGAAGGCATAGGGATGAAAATAAAATAGCGTAACCTAAATATTGATTGAATACATTTAGTTCAAGCAGAAAAACATTTGTGTGGGCTATGCCTGCCATCCATTTCCATATTCATGTTCATGTGTTCCAATATTTTCGCACACAGACCAATAGACAATGTTGAGAAATAAAACAAGGACATAAAGTAGCATTGGATACATTTACTTTAACACAAATAGTAATGGCACGTTTGTCACTTGAAAAAGAATACACATGTACTCGTTTAACTACAATTAGTTCATCAGACATCAATGTTGTTCTGTATCTGTTCAGAAATTAAAATATGCACATATTCAATGCTGGTGAATCTAACTTAAGCAATGTTAATAGTAACATTACTGTTAAGAAACAATTACCAAATATGTGTCAAGAACTATCTTTTCATATCTTATTTGTTTACACAGTGTAGCATACTATTTATATATTAGGACCAAATTTAAAAGATCTCAATATGGGAGTTCATGTAAATTACTAATTATTTACAAACCAATTTTAATAAAATAAAAAATTACAATTGATAGTTTCTTACTTTTTATCCACCATGTGTTCCAAGAGCTTTGATGTTTGCGAGGATATCAGATGGACAGAAGATATCACAATTAATTATTCTTTATACCATGTAAATTATCTATATGCCACACTTATCACTGATGATCACTGTTTCACATACTTATGTGTGACCTCTCAAAAGTCAAATGTCAAGAAGATTGTGGCTGGAATACAACATCATGTGGTCAATGTACATGTGTGTGTTATTTCTTCTGCACAGCAATGGGTACCATTATGTAGAAATGTTTTCTGTATTCCCTACAGTTTACCTTTCCACATTTCTTATAGCCTATATCTGATTTAACTAGTGCATATAATTATGGCAGAAAACTGTGAGCCCTTGATCACGAACTGTTTGTTTGACCTAGGTTGAGAAGTTGGCAGAAGGGTCACAATAGCCTTGTTAAATGTCAAACAAAAATGCATTTCATGAGCAGTTTATTTTGATAACAGCTATTGTGGGAAAGAACAAAAATCAAACAATACGTTCTTCTTGGCTGTATACATTCAAACTTCAGGTAATGTGCCATGTTCATCTACAACAACCCTGATCTATATTATTTAAACTTCTCCAATAAAAATCCAACTTTCTTCTACAATAACCTTGACCTTTTTCTCATATTCTCTACGATTCTCCTGGTAAAGTTTTGCTGCAACATTATTTGCAGGACTGTTGGGGTTAGGTTCATCCAGCAGAGACTGAAAAAATGCAAATGGATTTTATGGGAGATAATAAAGAGCAACAATACAGATATTAAACTTATTGTTCAGTATTTTTGCGCCCTAAAAAAAACGTTTTTTTTATTCAAATAAAATATGTAAGTATAAATAGAATCCTAAAGATTAATTTTAAGGAGAACAGAGTGAGACAAAAAGGTCAACTTGATATGAGGCACAACCAAACAAATTTAACAAACATTGGTTGCCAAAGAACAGCGGTAGACTGTCCTCATGACAACACTAATATAGAAAGACATCATAAATTGTAACAAATGTACTGGATGACACAAACAATATACAGTGTCTATTGCATTTGTCTAATAAGCTCAACATCATACTGTCCCACAAAAAGGCCAGTAGGTGAAGAGAATTCTTATCATACACATTCAGTGATTTTCTCAGAATTATTTCTTTCCAAATACTTTTAAGTGATTGCCTAACAGCAGGTAAAGGTTTACTGCCTAACAGCAGGTAAAGGTTTACTGTGAAGCTTTTGCTAAATAATAATAAACAAGCAGCAGATGGCATTTGATATGTGTGTTGCTTACTTTCTTCCTTACCAAACTCAACTGCAGCAACATACAACTGTACTTGTTGCATGCTTATTAATTGTTATGATGGAAAATTCCATGAGCACATGCCTTATGTTATATATGAAGTGCTATAACATGTTGCACAGGCTAGCGGTAACGGCAAAATTCTAGAAATAAACACAGTAAAAACACAACTGAAACAATTAGGTGGCGAACATCTAGATTCTAGAGAGGCTTTTCAAGCGAATCCTTCTGAGGTGTAAACCAAGAATGCTAAGAGGTAGCTTTACTTTCCTCTTCATCCTCTTCTCTTTCATCATCATCATCATTCCAGCTTTCCTGTACAATGGTAGCAACTTTTTTCTCATATTCTCTGCGATTTTCTCTGTAAAGCTGTGCCGCCTCATTGTTTGCTGGGCTATTGGGGTTTGGATCATGAAGCAGAGACTAAGGAAGACAATAAAAATGTATTTATAAGCCAGAGAAGTGTAGTCTCGGATATGGGATGAAACACTTTTGATGTGACTAATTATCTGAATGCGTGGCAAATCTCAAAATGAAATTCAAATTATTACTGTTCATCAAAATACACGCATTACGCTTTGGTAAAATAAAGAATAAATGCATTTAGTTAAGAAAAATATTAAAACCTACATGCTGAAACTGGTGGGGGGGGGGGGGGGGGGGTGTCCTACATTATATTCTATGACAATAGACACTATTGGTGACAACAAAATTATGAAGACATGGAGTACATTTAATAGTGATATAAACAGCTAATGGTCAAGGCTGATCATAAGATTCAATACACTTATTACATGGTGCAGTCATGGATACCAAAAAGCAGGAGAGAAAGATTTACTTGGCAAGGTGATTTGAAATATAAATGAATGGAAGGACTGTTCTAACATGGTCACATAATAAAATATGATGGCTGACATAAAAATGAAACCAAGAAGAAAATAGAATGGCTCAAGCTATATTCCACAACGCAATGAAAACCATTAACAAACAAAACCATCTATCATTTAAAACTGAGTCATCTGCAGTGTACAGTCTACATTGTTATATGAGAAAGGAAGGGCAAGATGGATATACAATCAGACAGTTACTAGTGCCATCAGAATTGAAACTCTTCGTTTGCTGCTGAAGATGGGGACGGAGCGCTTATTGGGGTGTCCCAAGTGCTATGGTTGATTCTTAATGCAACATTCAAGATGTGGAGAATGACAACAAAGAAAGCCCTCAAAAGGAAAATTTATATAGAAGAAATGTGGATATACAGAAAAATTAGATGCAAAATAAATTGTGGTTTTTAAACAAATCAGGACTGGAAAGATATTTACCAAGAAAGTTCAAGATTCAAACATATAATTTGTTCTGCGAGCTTTATCATGACAAATATTTGGATACAGTATTCAATTAATGCATTAAAATTTTTACAATATTTGCTAAACTATATACAAGTGTATTATAATGATTTGGACTCTCACAGGATATCCCTGGTAAACTGCAACCAACCAACAAAGACAATACTCACTACTAAAAATGATGCACATCCAAAGAATGAAAGAAATAATGGATACAACAGCAAAAGACTGAAGAAGTAGTTTTCAAAAATTACTGAAATCAGAGCTTGCTAAGTTGGGATGTGTGTCATGGGACAGAAGAGAAATATCATCAGTAAAGTCTGGATCATCAAGCTGTTTTGTGGGGGTTCACTGAATTCCGTTCCTGGTGTTAGATGTTGATGTCTTCATAATCAAATCTACTGCCAGTAAAAATAGCAGACGTGACAAAAGGCATCCCTGTCGCACTCCTTTTTTTTAAAATTTCAAATGTATCTGCTAGTTTTCCCTTATGAAGAGCTTAGCATTTCATGTGTTTATTTGCAGCCTTTACTAAGTTTATCAGTTGTTGTTTTTTTTCTCACATGATCTCTTCTAGTTTTGCTCACGGCCTTTCTCAAACATTTCATTTTGCAGGTGGTTAGATTTCTTTCATGTTTTTAATCAATATCCATGTCTAACACAGATAGCACAAGGCTGGTATAAAGACTTCTTCTTCTTCTTCTTCTTCTCTTCCACCTTGTACCTCATCGAAGTGTCGGGGGGAGATGTAATGTTCGTTGATGAGCTCTGTCAAGAGCACTATTAAGACTGATGTTCATTTCTGTAAGGCTGTTCTTAATGCCATCACTCCATCTTTTCCGAGGTCTTCCACTCGCTTTATACCCGTTGTAACGTTTTAGTGTGGCTCGCTGTGGCAGATAGTACCAGGGCATTCTTGTTAGGTGTCCAAACCATTTCATTTGTTGTTCTTTGATGACCTGTAAGACTGGCTTTATTCCTAGCATTCGTCTGATTTCATGATTATGAAGACTGCATTTAAATAATTTTTCTGGCTATCCTCCGACTAACGGTCGGCAAAGATGACGGCCGCAAAATATCCTTTTGAGCCAGAGTCACGTGTCAATTGCGCACTAGCAGTCACGAGCACACCGCGGCTGCTGCTCGTAGCTCCTAGCCATCTAGTTTAGCCCCATTCCATGCTGCGAGACTCGTGGCGGTGGCGATAGTCGCCGGAAAACCGCCGGAGAACCCCAAATTAAGTCGCGCAACTCTGGCTCGAAAGGATATTTTGCGGCCGCCATCTTTGCCGACCGTTAGTCGGAGGATAGCCATTTTTCTTTATATCTCTACTGAGGTAGCTGGGTGTTTCAAAATTGGAAGTCAGTTGATACGTGACATTACTGGCTCGTTGGATTCTTGTTTCATTCACTCTGTCTGTTCTGCCATCTTATTTAAAGATGCTCCCCAAGTATTTACAGCAATTTATAGGTGTGAACAAGACCTTACACATTAGCATAAACTATGTGTGATTCCTGCTGGCTTAAATTGATCACGTGGGTATCTGATTGTCCTAGATCGCTGATGTCATTGATTATTTACATTCAGACCAAAAGACCACTGTGAATTGAAAAATGCCTTGTTCTAAGAAATAAGAGAGGGTGAGAGGGTCTTCAACCTGAGGATTTGAGGCCACATGGATAGTAGTCACCACAGACTGTGAAGGCCAGGATTTTACACTCAGCAATCAACTTTACAAAACTGTCGGTTTTCTAAAGTAATAATAACTGTTTTTAACTGGGCATCATATGCCACAGAATTTGAGAGAGAAAAAATACCAATTATTTTTTATAAATTCAAAGATTTTCAGGTATATGTATTAAATATTAGCAAAACATAGCAACCATCAGCATTATACCAACTGAACAGCACCTGTTCATTAAACTCCATTTTCTTGAATAAGACAACACAATGTTTCACTTTAGTTTTTAGAATGCTGAAATGATAATAAAATATATCCCAAAGATTATCGTGGACTTCAATGTTACTACAACATCTGACTGAAAAGGGAAAACACACAGTCAAGCATTTACCTGAATTGAGGTCAAAATTGCTGATACATCATACGTGGGGCTCCATCTGTTCTGTAAAATATCTAAGCATATACTGCCATCTGCATACACTGAGAAGTATAAAGAAAAAATGATGACAATATCAAACATATGTCCCTGACAGAAACAATGGGAAACATGGTTGGCAATGACATTCATTACTTTTATTCCTTTCACAAACAATTCTGAGATGTGTACGCTGATGAAGTGAGTCCCACAAAGATATTTTATTCTTTCGCATACTAATTATTTCTGCAACAATTTTTACTGCAAACATTATCAAGTGCTTTCCTGATTGGCATGGGTGATCATGCCTCTTCAGAATCTGTAATCTGCAACTGTGTGTATCAATTTGTGTGTTGACAAACACCCTACAAATAATGCAACAGAAAACAAAGCCGTTAGATCAAAACAGCTCTGGTAGAGTGGGATAAGCATGAAAGGGAATAAACAGCTTCAGTGGGCTTGGCTGAAATGCAATATCATAAAAATATAACCTTCTGGGAACCATAGTCTACTGTCTCATGTTCTTTAATTTAGCAAATCTGGTTTTCACTTGCCATGTAAGCAATAATAAAATTACCAATACATCAGCCATCTTATGTCATTTATGCAAGTAAATACTTGGTGTCTAATTCATAAGCGTTTCACACTTAATGTCACCTCAAGACTGCTGAATGATAACCGCTCTAATCTGTTTAATGTGGCCTCATATTATTACTAGGCATTTGGATGTGGGTATATGTGGATAAAATTTGTCTGTTAGACTTTTAATATCATCTTAAGAGTAATTAGTTCATTTTAACATTGAATATCTGTGATAGAATAAATAAATACATTTATAAATCTCTGTGCGTGTCTGCAAGTGCGTGTGAACGTATCATCAGCCAGCAGGTCCTTCACGGAACACTGCTCTCGTCATGGTCTGCTTAAAACTCCCTCTTTCTTTGGCCAATTCACCAGTCCTATGATATATGTGTGTCTGTGTGCATGTGAGTGTGTGTGTGCACATCTGTAGTGTGTGTTATTAGCTTTGTATTTCATGTTGACAGAGCCTAATAGCCTTTGTTAGCAAGGCAGGGCCTTTATATGATGCTTTAACCAGTCTTGATCACACCTGTATCACCCTCTTACTGTCACCTTTTAGCCTATCTTAGGTGTCTTTACATCTCCTTCTTTTCCAGAAACATATGGCAAGCAACAATAGTTCAGAAGAAGACAACTATTCCTCAACATCAGGTATTTTTCTACTCCAGTAACGTAGCATATAAATTTCCCAAATGGACCACTAATAAAAAACTTTGGGTGTTCAAATACTCTCTTTCCATATTCAAATTTTTCCTTATGCTGTGATGGCCTGCCAAACGGTGGAGTTCAAAAAATATTTCTTGTCATCTATTTTCCTATATTATTCACTGAGTAATGTTATCCTTTTCTTATATTAATAAGTAAATAAATAAGTGTGTGTCTATGTGTGCGTGTATGAGTATTTGGGGGGAAGGGGGGTGGTGGCTATTTTTATGGTCTAGTCAAGTACCTCTGGTTCTTTCATCAATGTTCAACACTGAGTTTATCATGAGTGTCCTCACTTACTTAATCCATTTGTTAAAAAGTGCAGTGCCTATTTTGTAATTCACTGCTCACTATCCAATAATGCTGTTTATATTTTACATATGCTGAAACAAACCTGACAAAATAATATTATAAACAGGTTGAGGTCAGAAGTGTCACAAAGACAATACATTTCTCTGACAATATATTTACCATTAGGATGAAACATCTTTGAAATAAATCTGACTGTTGGAGGTTTATTTGGATACTCTTCTGTGAATTCAATTGTTAGCTTGAAAGTGCCATCTTCAAATGGTGTGTCATGAGGGCTGAAAACAAGTAGATACATTATTACAAAATAAAGATGATTCTCAGGACAAAACAACTCTTTGAGTTGGGTACGTGAGCAATTCCAATTCTGAAAGTACCAGTAACTAGTAACTCTGTGACCATAAATCCGTCTCACCCTTACCTTAAGTGTTGAGTGTCCGCCAGATCTCTTGGTAACTCTCAATTGCGCCATTCTCCTCAGACCGCAATGATCTGTTTGTTCCTCCACACTGTTCACACTCTCTCAAAGGGCCCTCACAACATCTAGTTTGTCATACATCAATTCACCACCAACTGTGCAAAACCAGCCAGTCTATCTGCCTGCTCATTTCCCAACACACCAGCATGTCCTACAAAAATATCTAAAGGTTGATAACCAACCGGGACCTCTGAAATGATGCTTGCCACTCTGCATGGAGCATGGATGTCTCCACCTTTCTCAACATGCTCTGTGAGTCATTTACAGTCACTGCAAGTGTGTACAGTTGATTCTCAAGCCAGCCGAAGGCAGGAGTGACTGCCTCCACCTCCATTCTCAAACCAGATGTTATGATATCATGTACCAGGCTTTGATGCACTAATCATCATCCATTTGCTTTTGCTATGAACCCTTATTCGCTTTATCTGCCCCTCAGTACAGAGCCATCTGTATAGATAATTCTATCAACTGGGCGGAAATTGTCAAAAATCATTTGTTGAACTTCTTATTCTGCAGCACTAGCTGGCCAGTCCCTGCACTCACAACATAAAGTGATAAGAACCCTACACAAGTCCTGCTCTGACCCTTTGACCCACTCCTCTCTCCGCCCAAATTTATCAAGCCTGCACATACCTCTAATTGTGTCTTCAGCTTGCGCCATCCAAGACTTTCCTCTTTTCAACCTGTGACCCTTAGCTCTACCCAGGGCTTCATTGATACCCCGGTGCTATGTATGTGATACATAATTGCACTGTCTACTATTGCAGATAGGCTCAAAGTTCTGCAGGCAAAGTCATATCTCAGAGTAGCTGCAGACAAGAAGCACTTCCTGCATCAAGCCCTGGGTAGAGCTAAGGGTCACAAACTGAAAAGAGGAAGGTCTTAGATGGCACAAGCTGAAGAAACAATTGGAAATGCGTGCAAGCTTGATAATTTTGAGCGAGGAGAGGAGTGGGTCAAGGTTAAGTTTAAGATTAAGGTTAAGATTAAGTTTTAGACTGTAGGGATCAAATCAGGTTAAGTTGTGAGTGCAGAGACTGGCCAGCTAGTGCTGCAGAATCAGAAGTTTAACAAATGACAATTCCCACCCAATTCCCAGTGATGTGATTATCTAGACAGATGTCTCTGTGTTGAAGGGCAGACAAGGTGCATGAAGTTTCATAGCAAAGGCGAATGGACGTCGCCTAATGTAGCAAAGCCTTGCATATGATATTGCAACGTCTAGTTTGAAAATGGAGGTGTAGGTAGACTCTCCTGCTCTCTGCTGACTTGAGAATCAACTGTACACACATGCCGTAATTGTAACTGACTGCTCACAGAACATGCTGAAAAGGGTGAAAACAGGTATGCTTTGTGCAGAGTGGCAAGCATCACTTCAGAGGCCCTGGGTAGTTAGCATCCTTTGGATATTTTCTCCATGTCATGCCGGCATGTGGGGAAATGAGCAGGCAGACAGACTCGTTGGCTCCACTTGGTGGTGAATAAATGTATGACCAGTCAGATATTGTGATGGCCCATTAAGAATGGGTGAACAGTACAGAGGTGCAGATTAATCATTACAGTCTTAGGAGAAGGACGCTGCAAGGAGTTACCAGGGGATCTGGCTGATGCTCAATCCTCAGGAAAAGAATGAGACTGATATACAATCAGACGGTTACTGGTGCCATCGGAATTGGAACTCTTTGTTTGCTGCTGAAGATGGGGGACTGAGCCCTTATAGGAGTGTCACGAGTGCTGTGATGTCAATTCTTAATTCAACATTAATTCTCAATGGAAAATGGCTTCAGCTTGACAACAAATCAGTTTCTGAACAGACCTAAGAAACAAATTCTGTACAGGACTGGGGTCCTTTAAAATTAAATGTCTACATACCCAAAAATAACGGCATTCCAAAGCATAATATTGTTATCAGATGGGGCACCACTAACTCCTGCTGGTGGATCTTCTTGTAACCTAAAACAAAAGCAAGAAATATCAAAATAAATAAATTTCTCTGAATATACACTGTTTTCTGTTCTTCTTCTTCTTTCGTTCGCCTGAAATAAGTTGTCTATATCAGCAGTTTTGTCTCTTGTATAAATTTCACTGACGTTGTTAGTTCATTCATTCAGAGTTTTGTTCTTTCTGGCCAAAAGGTTTGCCTTAATGTGTCAAATTTTGTGCAGTCCTGGGGTACATGCTCTGCTGTCTGGGGCACATTTCCACAGGTGCACATGTCTGAATTTTGTGTACATGTGGTTACGTAATCAGTTGTGCCCTGTTCTGAGGTGGAGGATAATGACTTGTTATGGTCTGTCCATAATAAAATATTCGTCTTGTGCTGGGGCTGGTGGTTTCCTGATCAATTTAATGATTCATTTCTTTTGGTGGTATGTGACTGGTACATCCGGCTGCACTTTTGTCGCACCTTCCCCTGTCAGCTGATCAGCTTTCTTATTTCCAGGCACTCCACAATGAGACGGTATCCACTGCATTACGACTTTTCGCTGAAGGCTGAGTTGTGTCAGCAGTGTTTGCAATTCTGGTAGTTTCCTAGACTGGAGTGCTTCAAGTACAGATTTAACATCTGTCAGCATTACCACATACTGAAGCCAAGATTGGTATTTAGCAGTTTCTCTGTTGCTATCTTGATAGCTTGAGTTTCTGCATCATAGTTATGGCAGTACTTCCTGGTTGGTAAGCTGGACTTATCCCTAGTACCATCTGGGAATTCTATGTACACTCCAGCACCACCATTTCTAACTGCACTTTGTGCTGACCCATCTGTATAGACTCTGACCCATTGTTCTTGTGGGTATTCTTGATCAATTTAATTGAGGGTGGCCATTCTGCGTTGTACACTATCTTGCTCTTTCGTGTCAAACATCCCTTTCACTTTTTTCTGTATAAATGAATGTCTTTTCTCTAAAGTGACTCTATATGTCTAATACCAATATGAGAGTAAAAATGTCTGTAGCTGTAGCTTGATTCCAATTTGTCAATGGGGGAAAAAATGGGAAAGGAAGCATTTCACTAACTGTGGCTACTTGTGTTTTTATATCTGCCCGTTATTCTGTTCCAAGCTCTTCAACGTTTTATAAAATATATGTAATTTAATGTTTAGCTGCACACTACTGGACTAAGTGATTGGACATGGCTTTCTAGCTCGCATCCTTCTAGGTTTTTAAGCCATGTTTTGTTTGTGATATGAGGATGATTTTCCCATAAATCTGCAGTTGGTTATTTTTTTTTAAATGTAGATTGTAAAGCACTTATAACAAGATTTATGTGAATGGATGTGCCTTTCCTTACGAGCACAAACATGTCCGATAGTGATTCACATCTTCTTTTTCTGCCTTTCTAGCCCCCAATGGAGCTTAGGACCTCAACCAACTAACACCAAGTCATTGTATCCTTAGCTATTGCATGCAGCTCTTACCATGTCCTTTACACATTTCTAACTTCGCTTTCTAGCTCCCTTTTCCATGTGTTTTTGGTTTTCCTTTATTTCTATGTCCCTGTCGGTTTCGGTGCAGAGACATTCTAGTTATATTGTTATAAGATATTCTCAATGTGTGACCTATCAAATGCCAGCGTCTGTCAGCTTTCCCTCATGAGGAACACAATATTTGTGTCTTTATATGTTGCCTTTACTAAGTTAATAACTTTCTGTGGGATTTTATAGTGCCCCATTAATTTCTATTAAGATTCCCTATCAGTGATGTCAAAAGCTTTTTCACTGTCTATGATACCACAACACTCAGCTTCAGAATTGAGGTGGAAGAGGTCACTGCAGCTTTTTGCTGGTTAGAGAACACGAAATACAGAAAGCATGCTGAGGAAGATAAGGACAGGCATGCTTCGTGCAATGTGGCATGCTTCACTGCTGGATTTTTCTCCAGGGTAGGCCGGTTTGTTGGGAAATGAGCAAGTGGACAGACTGGCTGGCTCTGCACAACTTGGTGGAATACTTATGCATGATAAGGCAAAGGTGGTGAGTGCTTTGTGGGAGAGCATGTACAGTTCGCAGGAGCAGATGGATCACCACAGTCTGGTGAGATTGATGCAGTGGGGAGTGAGGAGGGGTTCTGACCGATGCTCAAGGCTCAGAGGAAAGGCAAGACATACATTTATTCAGAATGCTACTGGCACCATTAGAATTAGAACTCTGCACTGGCTGTTGAAGATGGGGACAAAGCGCTTATGGAAATGCCACAAGTGCTGTGATGTCGGTTCTTGAATCAACTCCACTGAACTCACTGTCTATGAATCCAGTGTAAAGTGGTGAATTCAATGAAGCTTTGCTCCATTATTATACGTAATTTGATTAACTAATCAGTACAGGATCAGTTTGGTTGAAAGCCTGCCTGTTAATCTCTTAGCTTTTTATCAATCTTTTAGTTTTTCCAAAATAATCATATTTAATATTTCTCCAGGAACTGACAGCAACATAATTCCTCTATGGTTTTCACACTCCTTTAGTTCACCTTTTTTGGAAGCAGTTGATAGCTTTTCTAACTTCCTCTTTATATATCTGGATAAACCTCTGGTGCTGGTCTATTTAGAACTGGTTCAAAATATTTAGCCGATCTGCTCATTTGATCTTTAGTGTTATTGGTGAGTACTTTTCCTTAACTATTTTTAACTGATCTAGTTAGTATTTACCTGATAATTTCCTTGTAAAGGTCTCTGAGGTTTCCTGTTGCTGTCTCTGCTTCTTGTGCTTGGTAATCTAAATATGTCCTTGAATCTGCCCTTATTCACCTCCTAACTTCCTTATTAGCTTATGTGTATTTTTCTTGAGCTCTAGATTTAGCAGCTCTAGTTTTGCTATTTTTAGGTCTGCCTTTTTTAACTCTTACTTTCTTCAATCATTTTAATGGTTTCTCATTTTATCCACACTTTATGTTTTCTTTCTTTTTACCAAGGATTTGTACACAAGATTCAATCCAGATTCCCTTGATCTGATCCCAGCAGACTTTAGTGCTTACTTCTCCAGCAAATGCTATACCCTGTACATATTAGAGACTGTAACTGAAAAATGGGTGCTTTCTTTTTAGCCGACCACAAATGACATCACAAGACAGTCCAATATTTTAGAGGGTGGTGAAAGCGGGTTTTCCATGTTTTCTGTGCTGTTTTCTGTTCTTCCAAGGCCAAGGTTTTTGCACGTTTATCTAACCCTAACCAAAACTATACGCGTAATCTACCACCACCTGAAATATCTGACTGTCCCGTAACCTGCTGATTTCCCCTGTTTGTGGTCAGCTAATAAGAAAGTACCGAAAAATGTTCCTAACTTCTTCATTCCTGAGATAACCTATATTTTACTGGTTTCTATTATTAGATGTTATATATTTTTCTAAGTTTCAATTTGATTTTACTTACCAACAGAAAATGGTCAGTAAACAGACTGGCACCTCTGAAAGCCCTAACATCATAGAGGGATAATCTTACATTTTTGTTTAAAAATATGATTGGTTGTCTTATGGTCTGATGATTCCCATGATGCCCTGTGTATTCTTTTATGTAGGAAAATTCTTCCACCAATAACATACTGGCTTCCTGCACAAAAATTGGTGAATAATTCTCTATTTTCTTTCATTACATTTACTCCTAGTCCATGTTTTCTTATAATCTCTCCATAACCTGTGTTATCTGATCCTAACTTGGCATTTTAGCATTCAGGTCACCCATCAAAATTTTTTAATTGCCCTTTTTTTTCATTATTTTCAATATTTTGAAGTTGCAAGTAAAATTTCTCTTTGATTCATCTTTATCGTTTGCACTATACTACTGACATGTTCAGTTTCACTGTTCTAAATGACGCTATTATTATTCTAGGACTCACAGCTTCCCATTCTATTGGTGCCCTCTCTGCATCTTTCGATAGTATCAGGGCCATTCCTTCATTTAAGAAGCTATGGGGGGAGGGGGGATGTGGAGCTGAAATGTGTTCTGCACCCTCTGGATGGACTGGTCAATGCTGCAAGACATCGGCTGGATACAAACCACAGACCTTAAACCAGCCTTAGGATGCTGTGCTGCGCAGCTGATATATTAAGTGTCTAAACTAAGATAATTATACCAGTTCCTGTAAACATTAATCTGTCATTACATTCTTCTTTGTTCACCGGCTGTAAAATTCTGCGGAAAGTCCTGGTTGTTATCCGGCTGGACTTTGTGCCCAAGCCTAAGTTATGCGTGTACATCCTTTTTACTGGCTTATCTGTGTGCAGCTGATTGTTCGCTTGGGCAGATGCACTTCCGAACAATTCGATTTAAGCCCCCAATTAGTCAACTCATAGGACATCCTTTTTAAAAAGACACTACTACTATAGTACTATAGTATATGTCTACTATGTTGGTATTCAACACTAAAATATTAATATCTCTGCTTTAAGCTGACTTACAGGCTTCAATGAGGATTCGTTGGATTGGGTATTTTAATGCTCATCCAGCTGTGGTTTTTCTTCATAAGTAAAACATTATAATTAGTATAATTATAAAAAATTTTACTAGTACTAGGCTAGCGGCTAGCACTTTGACTTTGTTGAATTCCCTGATTAAATCAATCATTATAATTAATTTTAAAATGTCCAGCGCTGCATGGTATATTAAAAAAGAAATAGTTATTTTCAATATTAAACCAAAAAAAACTGATGTTAATAATGAATAGTATAGTAAGTGATAACAGATTATTAAGTTTAACACAAAGTCAAAATTTAAAATAATTGCAAACCATTCGAAAAGTAAGGTGATTTAAATATTTCTAGAGGAAAAAACCCTACCACAGGGCTCTAAATTATAAGGGGCTTTCATTAAAGTTGTCTTACCGTTTGAAATCTCTCATAAGACGCCTCCTAGCTGGGGTTGTCATTGTACAATCTGAAAAATTGGTTGTGGAAGAACTCTCTGAAGAAAGTTTCACTGTTTTTGCCAACCCTTACTTCCCATTAAAAAATGCAGCATCCGGGTCACCAACTTCCTCTGTAAATAACACAGGGATTTTCCTCATCAACATCAGCATCTAGCATAGACGCTGTAACCCGGAAGCCCACATATATTGTGTCCCTAAACTAAAACATTTGAGAGCGCCCACCAACCACCCCCAATATTTTTGTAAGGGGACTTAAAGGACCACTCTAACAATTTACATAAATTATCTTTGAAGGTATTGTGTTTATACATTTTATATTATTTCGAGTACATTCTATTTATTTGCCATTCGGCATAATAATAATTATTATTATTAATAAAGGTCCCCTTTCAACGCATCCAAGCTTATTGGATATATAATGCTAACCCTGTATTTTATAGACTAATTGGCACTCGGTGTGTGATATGGTCAACATTACGCCGCCCGCCTATAACTCCCAGGACTTTACCTAATACCCATTTAGCTGGGTCGACCAAAGTTATTTATGAAAAAGGTCAAGGTCCTTTCAGATTTGAATCCCCGATCTTCGGATCCACAGGGGAGCGATAATAATAATAACGTGCTGAATGACAAATAAATATAATAATATACTTGGAACCTTAAGCCTTTCCCCCACCCCCACACTCCACCTTTTTACCCCCACCCCCGGTTTTTATTTGTGTAGACTGGTCCATTTAATAATCTTCGACAAAACTCAATTCACCATGAAACTCCAGATGAGACGCTGCTACTTAACAAAGAGTGTTTTGGCATCCCACCCCCCCCCCCCCGCCCCACCCAACCAGTTAAACTGCAAAGGGCATCTGCCACACTTGCCATACTCTAGTTACGTTACTAGGCTAGAAAACACGATACACGCGCGCACATTGTGACAATACGCGCAGTGACTTCAGAATGTCTTTCCTCAACCTACTTTTATTTGTGTGTATTTTGAAGTATACAGACAAATAGGGATTTGGATACATCCTTAATCTAAATAGGATGACCACATCACACCTTTAATTCTCCTGGACCGTTGGTATATCAAACACTAAAACTTTTTCCCAGATGTTAAGTGTTAAGGTACAGAGATAAGACTGACCAAGCAGACTTACTGACTGGAGATTTGCACACCATTTGTTGGTGTCAGATAGTTATTCCCCCTGCCAGATCTTCAGGAACAGATAACAAGGGCTAATTGCCATTATCTCCCCCTGAGGTTACCTAACTCGACGGCAGGTCCGACGGTCACTATTGACACAGTGAGCGGAAAGTGTTGGCAGAAGAATTGACAAAGTCGGATTTTATTGTGATGACAGGTGAAGTAGACTAGAGGTGTGACTTGTCTTATTTGCTCTGGTCAGATGAATTGACCAGGAGATCCTAGCGTGGGAATTCAAACAATTGTTGGACAGTCACTGACTGACAGTGAATATACACCCACATGGGAGGAGCTGTAATATACTTGAATGAGAATGATTTTAGGCGTAATGTAGGAGGAGCTTGATAAAAGTTATAAAGTGGTGAACTTAAGGTCTGGTAAATGAGATCCTGTCTAGCACATGCCATCTGTTGGGCTTAACCTAAGCTTGAGACAGAACTTTTGGCATCGTGGTTTCATTTTTCCAGGTAAGATCGAAATTAGGTTCAAATCTATATTTTATGATAGAGATCTAACTGTCTTTTTACTCAAGTGTGTGTCTTCATCACTTTGTAGTACTCCTAGGCGGACATTTCTTCATTCTCCTAGGGCACTGTCACATTGTTTTATATCCTATTTGATAGTGTCATGAATGTTTTTTCGTGCACATGTGTTTCAATGTTGTAAAACTTAAATGTTGATGTTACCATTGAAATTTAATGAACTATCATGTTTTTGAAATCACAAGCGTGAAGATAACTTTGGCAATCTTTTCACGTGTGGTTAATGTGAATCTGTATTACATACAGCTAACACACTGAAATGTGTTTAACTCTCGGGAGGCTAATGCGGAGATTGATCCCGGAGAGTAAATCCACGAGATTTGTTATTTGATTCGCCCCAGAACTATTGTTAGCATTCTGGGCGCGTCGATTGTTCCAAGCATAGATTCCAGAACTGGTTCTGTCTGACTGATTGTCATTTTGAGTCTGTACGAGAGATGGCACCTGACGTAGAAGACTTGACTATCATTACAGGACGTGTAGAGGAAGGCAGAAGATGTAACAGTTGGAATGTGAGACATAAGCCCTTCCAAATTGGACAGGAGTGAATGTGAGCATGAGGGGGAGATGAAATGTTTTATTTAAATAAACATGCTTGATGTTAGTACAATATACATGCTTAGTGTACATCTAGAGCAGATACTACAAATATGCGCTTGTTTCTTCATTCTCCAGTTCCCACATTGGGCAGGGACTAGTAGGCATCCATTATTTGCCGACCGTCGAGTGTAACGACCTGCAGAAAGCAGTGAGGACGACAAACTGGAAAAGATAGGCAGGGTCTCAAGCCGAGAACTGTCCTGACGGTGAATTCTCCTACTAGGAGTTAAGTATATGTACAAACTGTCATCATCCACATCATTCCAACTCTACTAGCCTAAACAAGTTCATTTTAATTTCGATTTATTCAAATAAATCATGTGTGATGAGTTTCATGATATTTGAGTAAATTGTGTACTTAGGTTCAAGTGTCTTTGTGCATATTAGTTTACTTCAGCTAACAAATATTTAAATCACTTGATGGGGGCTTTTAAGCAATGCCAGGAGAGGAGACCAGTCGCAGGGGTTAACTGTGTATCGAGATAATATCACATTGGGTATATCCTGATATCTATCTATCCCTTCTCCTACTCCTGTGGATACAAGTACAGCAACTTTCATTTCATGGAACGAGCCACTCGCTGTTTTCTTGGCTATCCAGGACTGTCTAGGATCAACATAGCTTAGATAATAGTCCAGTTTCTCACGTGGGTGGGCATTGTTAAGGTTCAAACCCACACCCTCACTATATCAGTGTATTTACCCACGTGGGCGCGCGACACACATACACACAGGCGCGCGCGCGCGCACTGTAGCTGACGCAGAAAGCATGCTGAGGAAGGTGAGGACAGTCATGCTTCGTGCAGAGTGGTTTGCTTCGCATCAAAGGTCATGAGGGAAGAGCATTGTCTGGATCTTTTCTCTTTAGATGTCGCTGTGTTGGGAAATAAACACAAGGACAGATGGCTGGCACTGCAAATCTTGGTACAATACTGATGCATTATTAGACAGACGTGGATAAAGCATTATAAGAGCACGTGTACAATTCGCAAATGCATACTGTTCACTAGCCGTACCCGGCCTCGCGTTGCCGTGGCTCATTCTGGCTAAATGGAAAAGAAAGAAATAGAAACAGCACGTGTCTAATAATATGGTTAATTTGACAATCACTGTCTGGGCTGACATAAAGATAGTCTGGTTTGCCGACTCTTGAACACGCAACATATAATTGCGTCTTTATATTAGTGGTCGTTTAATTGTAATATTAGGACTTTTTACAAATTGTTATTTGTTTATTTTATGCTAAAGCTGCTTATATTTTTTAAAGATCTGAAAGTAAAGCTTACTACTGTAATTGTAAAAAACCAAATAATTGCCAACCCACCACTCCCCGCAACTCCCCCCCCCCTTCGCCGCCATGAGAATAGCTTAGGTTCTATTCTATCTATATCCTCTTCATGTCGCTGTTGACACATACGGCATTCACAAGTGATCTTGATTGCTTCCGGTCTGCTGCTTTTCTGTCTATGGTATCCCATGTCAGTTTACATTCCTTCATTTCCTGTTCTTTTGTCCTTCTCCGGGTTTCCTTAGGTCGTCCACGTCTCCTTTTTCCATCTGCTGTCCACCGGAAAGCTGTTTTTGCCAGTGTCACAAAGCATTTTTGCAAACATGTCTAAGAAATCTCCATCGTCTTACTTTGATAACATTTGCTAGTGATGCACATTCTGTTTTCCTCCTCAGTTCTTCATTTGCGATCTTGTTCGGCCAAAATATTTGTAGAATTCTCCTTAAACATTTTTTTTTTTTTTTTTTTTTTTGAAAAGTCTCAAGTTTATGTGTAATTCCAACTGTCATTTTCCAACATTTACTATTGTATAATAGTATTCTTAAAATGTTGCTCTTGTATATTCTAAGATTTGTCTTTAAATCCCTTTGACTTCCATATATTGTTAAGCATGGCAAATGCTTGATTTGCTTTGTTTATTCTTGATGTTATATCCTTTTCAGAATCTCCATCTGAAGTAACTTTACTTCCGAGGTATATACATTCTTCAACTTCCTCTATTGCTTCATCGTTTAAGATAACTGGATTTTCTGTTTTACAATATTTCTTATTACTTTAGTTTTACTGGTGTTTATTTTGAGTCCTTTCTAAAGGGCTTTTGTTGAAAGTCTTTCAGCCTTTTCCTGAGCGTCCACATGACGGCTTGATATCAAGCGGATGTCATCTGCACAGTCAAAATTCTCTAAAAGAGATATGAGTGACAACCTGAGGCTTCTTTTTCTATCTCGTGTAACTTCCTTCATCAGCCAGTCAATGGTCTTATTCTTCTTCTTCTTCTTCTTCACTTCCTCTTTTACCGCTGTGGGTGTCGAGAGAGATATAAGGTTCTGTTTCTAGCTCTTCTGGCTGCCTCGACCATAGGCACATCGTGCTGTTGTAGAGTTTCTCTGATGTTATCCTTCCATCAATGGTCAAATTGAACAAAAAGGGGGACAGAATGCATCCCTGTCTGACTCCTGTGTTGACAAAGAAACTTTCTGCTGTATTATTATCACAAACTACCTTGCATTGAAACACTGAGTAAATGGCTTTAAACAAATTTCTGTTTATACAACATCATCATCATCAGTTGTCTTGCCGACTAGCGTGGGCGATCATGCCTCTCCACAATCAGCGATCTCCTGCAGTATGTATCAGTTCGTGTGCCGAC